ATAGGTGGGGCCAAAGGGGGTGTTAAAACTTTTGCGTAGTGACTGTACCTTAGGTACCGAGAGGAAATAAACCCTAAAAACCTCTCGGGAGTATATCCCTCCCTGTCACGGTGCGAACCGTGATGCTTAGTAAGAGGAAGATTACGGCACGTGATCTCCGACCTGTTTATCTGAACTTCAGTTCTAGATCCTGTTGTAGTTCTGGGAGCTACGTTTTGTATAATAGCCTGCCCCTGCCTGTACCTGTCAAGTGGAATCTGATCTGTTATGACCTGTTCCTACCAGTCATCTCCTATCATACCGTCCTGCCAGCCCACACCCTGACACTCAGGGTGTCTTTTCAGGAAACGTGGTAGCCAGTGGGCACCAATTTGTGGAGCAGGCGTAGTCGGATCGGTATGGTCATTCTCAAGAATTGAATCGGCAGCAATAGCAATTTGGCGTCGGTTTATCGATACTCCGACCGTATCAAAGTAATCAATATAATCACATAAAGCCTGCTCTTGTTCAGGATTGAGCTCCCTACCATCAGGTGCTCGTTGAAAAAGGGATTTTCCACCTTTCTATCGCCGGCGTAGTCGGTGCATAGGAACCGCGGGTTCTCGCGCAGTTTTCGTGATATTGGGCTTTGTCTGCTCAGATAGAGAATCGAGAGCAAGCTGAAGCTGTTTCTCTATGTCTTTATTGGTTTGAGGCATTCTTGGTGGTGTGGTTGACGATCAAAGTAAAAATGAAAAATTGAGAAAAAAAACCTTGCATTTGGGTGATGTATTGCAAATGGGTGGCAGACCCTCGCTTGCGAGAGTCCGTATTTTTTGAAAAAAAAAATTTCAGGGGCCGGTTAGTTATTTAACAGTTCATGTTTATTTTGTGCACAATGTACACCGAAAAAAACCACACTAACAACTCCGATAGGGGGAATCGAACCCCCGGCTGCCGTGTGAGAGACGGCGATGTTAGCCACTACACCATATCGGATGGTTGTAGTTCCTTCCGCAAATTACGTTATTAGGCCTAGCGCTGGCTTTTTCGGTCTAGCGTCACAGCGCCCTGTGCGTCGCCGTGCGTGGTTCTATAAAGTCCTCCCCATCGCCCCTTCAACTTTCTGGCCCTCCTGCTTCTCCTTTCCCCCCCCTGGCCCGCCCCCATGCGCGCCTTGCAGATGAGGCATTTTTGCCATTGATCCGGTTCACCGAGCTCCGCCACCCTCGTTGTCGCCGGCGTGAACCAGCCAGTCCTTTGCGGTCCTTCGAGCCCTGGAGCGCAATCTGCGCTGCTTCCTTCGCCCTGCCCCGTTCCCTCTCAGCCCTCACTATTACGATCGAGATGAGGCATTTTTGCCCTTGGTCCGTCATATCACATGTCAGTCGGCAGATCCGTCGTCGATCTATTGCGCCCTTTGGTTTCAGTCGCCCTAACCCTCTGTGGACAATCGCCTGTGTGCAGCGGGTCTATGGATCTGCCTTGGGGCCCAGTACGAGAGTGAGAGCCTTGTGGCTGATGGTGTCCAATCAGTTTCGGACCTCGGGGAATGTTGGTTAAAACGCATCAATTGCATATTCGACCGGACGCTCCTCTCTACAATTCGCGCAAGCTAACGATTCAAGCGTCTGCGAGAGCCGGATAATATGATCAACCCCCTCTTTCCCTGCTCTTCATGATGTGAAGCTTCCAAAGCGGCTATGTTGAGGCGCTTCAATGATCTCTGAAATGGCTCGCCGACCTCCCCAGACCGTTTACACGCCCCGGTTCCTCTCCATCCTTCGTTCTATCGTTCCATTTTCAGAAATAGCTGAGGTCCACTCAGCTCGCCAAGTACGCCTTGTCCTTAACGACCCCTTTCGCGTGGTTATCCATTGGCAGACACGCTGAGATGGACGGATAAGACAGCAGGGGGTGAATCCTTCAACAGGAGCTACATATGGACCAGAGGCGATTAGGCAGCTTTGATCTCTCGGTCAGAACGTCATGAGCGTCTTATCCACAGCCATTGGTTACGGAATGACTGGCAAGTAGAGCTCAATTGACAGGACTCCTTATGACCGAACTCATTGACTTCACGATCGATTGGCACAGAGGACCAGATAGAAGCACAAGGAACAGGTCATACGGACTAGAGATGGAGGTAGTATGGGTCTCCATGTTGGTCCGCTCTTCCGCGTTTCGTCTTTTGTCTCGAGTTATGGAACGACTGGCGAGCAGAGCTCAATCAATCTAGTGGTGATAACATTGGGCGCAGACGATGCGCGTACTTGCAGTTCTCCAGGAATAGCAGCATTATTATGGTATCATCTCGGAGTCGCGGTCGTCCTCATTCCGGAGATCTACGCAGTCCCAACCCCTGTCACCGAAGGCGCTCTGTGTATCTGCGTCGCGCGGACTGGGGATGATGAGGGGGTCCTTAGTCTCCGTGTTGGTCCGTCTTGCATGTTTCGTCCTCTGTCCTGGGCCATGGAACGACTGGCAACCGGAGCTCAGTCGAAACGGTGGCGATGTTGCTGGGCGCGGTCGATGAGCAGGAGTGCAGTCCTCCGTAAATAGCAACAGCGCTTTGTGATTTTATTGGATCAAATGGACGATAAGCTGGTCTTTCATACGGTATTCCTATGCAATGTGTGTTAGATATGGAGACGACTGGCAGACAGGCCTCGTCTGGAAGCGATCCTGCTGGGTCTTGCCGTCTGAAGTTGAGACCTGGACGAAGGTGCCCGCTTCAGCCTGCAGGCTGAACAAGGCGTAATCGGCCAGACGAGAGATATAAAGCCATGTATCTCGCACGCTGTTTCTCCAACAGCAACAGTCAAGAATCGGATTAGGTCTTTGATCTTCATCACAGCCCTTAGTCTTACCCTACATCAATCATTAAGCGTTTGTTTCCGCCTCTACTTCCCGCTCCAGTCAGTATGAGCTCTTTTACAAACAATGCGCGCGAGTCCTTCGGTGAGGGATATTCTAGAAGCATTATGGATATTGCCAACTTGGCATTGCGAAGTATCAATCCCCGATGAGCGTTCGGACTGGCCTATACTGGTCATATACGAACTCATCGATTCTTCCGAGTTAGGCACTGAGGCCAATCCCATAGTGATTGGAGATGATCCTGCTCCTTTTGGCTCGGCCTCCAACCCTATAGTGATTCATGTTGACGAGGATTGTGGCCATGATGAGGCAGAGCAGCTTGGTTCTGATGCCGACACTGAGATCATGGCTACACCAGAATTCTGGGAGAAGTTGATCGATGAAAGCTTACCAGCCCCAGCAGACGAGCGTGCAGACGTTAACTCTGTTTCTGTTCTACCCCCCACTACGCAGCTAGCCTGCGAGGATCTGGAAGAGCCTCGAATCGTTGAGCAGAATTGTCCTCGCTTGGACGATAAAGCAATTAAGGATAGAGCGCCTAAGGTGATGGAAGATCACTCCGTTGCTCTCTATGGTCAAACTAGCCAAGCGGGTATGTTATAGCCCTTAGCTCTTAACATGCTTTTCGTTGACCTTTGCTAGAAACTGATCGAAACAAATACGAAGATAATAACTATCCGGTTTGCGGTGTGCCGGACACCATCTCGATAACGGATCAATCTCAGGCGCAGGAAACACCACACAGCACCACGAAATGTATTGCGAGTGAACCACCTCATGGCTCTTATGGCAGATGGTCAGCCAAACGCAAACTTTCAGATGCTGACGGCGTCTCCCTTGAACCGAGACGATCTGAACGATTGATCAAAAGGGCCAGACAGTCAGTACCTCGAATGTGAACTCGTCTTGCATTGGCTCGTTGCAATTTATGGCAATGCTTGGTTTCGAATTGTTTTTATCCTTTTTACCAATTCCAATTTTTCCTAACACACAAAACTCATTCCAACTATATGGCGAAATATTCTTGTTAGCATTCAGTCTGGAACAAAATGTGGAATTGATTTGAACAAGTTAGCTACATCTTTACCGTTGTTGATGTCAATTTAGTGAGATGATTTTTCGTCATGCTCAGTGACACATAAGGTAACCAACAGTGGTCCCAGTGAATGTGGACAGCACCTAGATACTAGGGTCTTGATGATTGATTATCAAATACTGATTTTTCTCGAGTTGTGCTGAGTTCCAATATTGGCTAAAGATGTCCAGTACTTGGAAGCTGCGTGCTTGCATGAGAACTGCCCGATCTTGCACGATTTCAGAAATCGCTGAATTTTCACAAATACTTTTGGTGTTTTCTCATGGCAGTAGGATGATGCAGTTTTAATGTGATGACCTGTCCAGATGGAGGCAATTAATGAAGATCGAGTCCGAAATGTGACTGTTATTGGAATTGTGGGTGTTCCACATATACCGACGGAGCTAGGAAACCTTAAATACCCAACCGCTTGCACTTTTCGCTGCGCAGTCTTGCTCACTCAATCCATTCGTAACCCCGATGGTTCTCTGTTTACCAATTCCCGCTGATCACAGCATCTTCTTCTACCCGGACTAAGAATAGCTAGGATTACGCTTTTGAAGAGCTCCGAAAGACAGTTGACCATGAAATTCAACTGTTACAAGAGAGAAAACGAATGCTTCGAGACGAACTTCATCTCATGAAGGAGGCGCACAAACGGACCGAAGTGATGCTTTCCCAGGAAATGGAAAGGCTTACATTGAAATGCAAGATCTGCTATATGCAGCGATATCACTGGGTGACCTTTCTTTGTGGGCACATGGTTTGCGAGTCATACGCAGGAAAGCTTGAAACGCCGAAGAGAAACGCCGAAGAGCTGCCCTATTTTCGGGTACCAGTGTCAGGATATGTCAGATGCTACTCTTTTGCACTATAAACATGTATGCGAGGTCAGAATGAAGTTGCCGACACTACGTATATGCTTAGTTCATCTCAAGCTGATACCCTCTTCTCTAGATTTTGGGCGTTGCCTCGAAGATTACAAAGCACCACTTGTTCTACCGCGAAAATTATCGAGGATCATAGCCAGCTTATTCGATGACAATGAGATCTCTCATTTACCGATAATCCTTCTCCCAGGTTCTAGTCGTAGATTGTCAACCCGTCTCGACGGTCTTGTATCAAACGATTCCCCACATGGCAGTAGGGGAAACAAGCTTGACATCACATATCCTTCAGCTGGTCGAGTACGCTTGCCAGGTTCCGTCCAGTGGCGTTTGCGTTCTCCGCAAATATTGCTAGGTAGGCATTATGGATCAGTACACGTAAGACGGGAGGATTAGTGATTGGTTACCATCAGGTGTTCCATCTAGAACTAGATGGTGCATCTTTCCGCCAATGAACAAAGTTGCAGGGCTTGTATTCAACTCTGTCTGGCGCGGAATTTGGCTTGGGGCATTGAGACGGGGATAACTCGTTGATCCTAGCAATGAAGACAAACTGGTAAGGCTCGGCTGAATAAGACTCTCGCACACTGACAACATACCAAATCCAAAGTGTTGAGAATCGTGGAAAAACGTAAGTTTACAACGATATTCAGCACTAGCTGCAGATGCTGATATAAAGGGACTGGCAGCACGGAGTGCACTGCCAACCTCTTGCTCAATCAAAATGTAAGTTTCTCCCGGGTCGCCAACAATAACAGGCACCTTTCTGGTAACCAGATCTCCTCTCGCGTCATGGGTAATGAAATCTGTTGTGACGTGATGAAGAAGTCGCGCGCTACGAGCGCTTCTAGAGCAGGGAAAGGAAGAGAGGGGGCGAAAAGTGCTGCGAAATATATTGGATCGGACTAATTGAAGACTCAAGTTAGTAAAGGGACAGGCAATTCTTTCGCATTCAAGACGTACAATGGGCTGGACAGGTTGCAGAACACATAAGCATAACAAAGGTCTGTGATGGATTGACTGGGAGCAGTGCTCTTACATACCCTTTGTCTCGGAGTGGAAGAATATATCAGCGGATCAGTTGCGTTCGGAGAATCCCAGTTAGGCGCACAGGACAATTGATAAGTAGTGGCATCCGGAGCCGACAACCCAAAAAAGGCGGTGAACACCGAGTTCACCGCCTGCCTGCTGCTTTTTTCCCCGACTGCTTCTTTTCTGGTTGGTGGCCACCTGCGTGGGGAATTTCTGTGCAAAAAGTTTCAGCTGCGCGCAGAAAATACATGTTTTGTTTTTCTAGAATAGAATAGGGTTTTGGTTCCTCTACCCAACTTGTCATCGACGACCATTGATTGGGCCAATCAAGTGGATCGATCCTCCACGATCCTTGCCCCTACAGTTCGGTATAATATCCGCCCGAGCGGGTCGACCCCGCCCTTTCCGGGTGCTTATTTTTAATCCAAAAGATACGCAAAATCTCGTAAGACGTGATGTAATGCATTGACGGGTATTAGTTTCCTCGAAATAAAACTCTTCAATATCCACAACGCAACAACGAATGTACGACGGGCTGGCTCATCATAGGGCGACCACTGAGGAGAAATCTCATGGCTGGCGAAACCATGGTCTGGAAACCGTGGTTGACCACGGTTTTCATGTTCCTCTATAACATCTATTTAAAGTTGACTGCCGGGTTAGTCAAAGACAATTTATCTCAATGCACTCGGGATGTCCGAAAGCCTCCCTATAAATTTCGGCCAAATGCTAGCGGGTCTCTATCAGGAACAGGTTCGGAATACTGTCAAAGGTAAGATGTCACTACAATTCACTAGATATGCAAGCCCTCCTAGGTTAGATAGCCGGGGGACGCCTCTTAACACAAACGTAAATGCTAGCTTTAACCACATGATATGTCCTCCACAGAGACTTGATAAACCGAAAATATCTCAGTATCATCTAGAGGCACACCATAAAGCGACTCGGTATCTATATACTCTATGTCTCACCTTAGTTGACAATCCATCTGTTGGCTTTTACAACCCGATCACAGAAAACCAAATCCCACCTAAAGAAGCAAGAGACGCCATCAGCGAGCTTGACAGAATCAATAGCCGCCTAATGGACAGAAACATGCCAATGGTTTAGATCTTGGTCTCGGTCAAATCCAGTGGCAGTGTTTTGTTGAAAAGTGGAAAACAATCCTTTTCGTGTTAAACACTCCCCAGCCCGGAGAACCGGAAACAAAACCACTTTCACAACTCAAATGTAATAAGTTTTCAGACTTGTCTACAGAATATGCGTGAGTCAATCGATGCACATGTTCATTTATTCAGGTATCAATGTGGCTATCAAAGACAAGCGTGGCAGACTCAATACGGCCTCAGATGAGTAGCCAGAGTGACACCAGTAAGTTTAATCAACAAAGATTTGCATCATAAGAGCCTCCCTTCCCTTCCCCAAAAACACCATCCAGATGTCGTGCACGTCGACGATGTTGACGGAGAGTATGAGGCTAGTACTCAATGACTGAGCTTTTATACTCCAAGATTTGTGCAGTCAACGGACCAACAGGCACCGCCATAGACTTGTAGTAATTTGCCAACTGCTGAGTGGTCCACTGATTGGTAACGACGGCGACGTGAGCATCTGCTAGCCCCTTGTTGTTTGGATCATTCGAGAATGGTTCCTTTAGTAGGGAGTAACCGTTGATTTTCAAGAACATATCAGCCGCCACTAAGGCGGTGCGTTTGTTCCCGTCCTGAAAGGGATGATTTTTCATCAATTTCTCAGCAAAGTTCGCAGCAAGCTGGAAAACATCTTCGGTCTTTGCGTAGTGTTTCAAATTCATCGGCGAATAGATTGCAGACTCCAGCAAGGTGGGCTGGACCGGAGCAGAACGGGGAATGACAAGTAATGTATGGAGTAGCTCAACTTGTTTGGTTGTTAGAAACCAAAGCCTCTTTGTGGCCATTTCCAAAGAAAGCAGATGTGACAATAAATGGAGTCGGATGTTCAAATAGATTTGTGATTGAAATAAGCAACCTGTCAAGGCCTCTGAGAGTTCTAACAGAAAACACAGTCCAACTTCAACGAAAGGGAAGATGCACATCTTTATATTACTTTCAGATGCTACCTACACGGTGTTTCGTTGCAGCAGACAGACTCGAACAGGGACTCTGTTGGATGCCTCAGGCATCACATGTAGGATAGACCAACTAGATGG